TAAGTGTTGATATATTTTCCAGGTAAAATGGAAAACCAACTAAGATTTAGTGTATCTGGTTCAAAATTCAAGTGCTATTATCATCAAATTTCTATGTAATCTATAAATATGCCCAGTCTTTTATTTCATTTGAAAAGACAAAAATAGAACTATTTTGTTTTCCAGTATTTTCACAAAAATGGTTACCTATAAACTTGCAAGAAGAGATTTAATCAACTATACAAATATCACATTCCACTCAGCACCACAGAGACATATAGGTAGCATAAATTAGTTACATTAGCATTTTTTCTTCATTACTTCAACAAATGACTATTTCCAAGTTAGCTTCTATTCCATCCTGACAGACAACAGTCTTTCTCTCAGGCTAAGAAAAAATATTTAATTCCCTGTCTCTGTTGTACTATTTATAATAAAACAACTTTAAGTCATTGTGTGCCCGATTAGTTTAGTGGCTTAGAGAATATTTCAAAGGTTCACAAAATTGTTAGCTTCTAGCTTCTAGATAGATCAATCCAAATAGTTCTGCTTCCGTTTTCTTTCCTTTCTAGTTGCTATGGCATCAAAGTAATTTAAAAATTACTATCATGTAAAAGAAAAAAAATCTCATCATTGGACTTCATCAAAATTAAAAACTTCTCATCAAAAGAAATCATTAAGAAAACTAACAGGCCGGGTGTGGTGGCTCACGCCTGTAATTCCAACACTTTGGGAGGCCAGGGAGGGAAGATAGCTTAAGACCAGAACTTCAAGACTAGCCTGGGCAACATAGCAAGATCCCATTTCTAAAAAAAAAAAAAACTTTTTAAATTAGCCAGGTGTGGTGGTGGCCTGGAGTCCCAGCTACTCAAGAGACCAAGGCAGGAGGATTGCTTGAGCCAGGGGGTTTGAGGCTGCAGTGAGTTATGAAAACCTGCCACTGCACTGCAGTCTTAGCAACAGAGCAAGACTCTGTCTCCAAAAAAAAAAAAGAGAAAACTAATAGGTAAGCCACAGACTGGGAGAAAATATTTGTAAAACATTTATCTGACAAAGGATTGCCATTCAGTGCTACTCAATATACTTTCATTAATACAATTCAGTAAAAAATAGAGACTTGAACAGATTGTTCAGAAAATAAGTATGAATGGCCAATATGAGATAATAAAAAAAAGTTCTCAACATCATTATTCATCAGGGAAATACAAATTAAAACCACAATGAGGCTGGGCACAGTGGCTCACGTCTGTAATCCTAGCACTTTGGGAGGCTGAGGCAGGAGGATCACCTGTGGTCAGGAGTTTGAGAACCGGCCTGAGCAAGAGTGAGATCCTGTCTCTACTAAAAATAGAAAAATCAGCTGGGCGTGGTGGCCTGCACCTGTAATCCTAGCTACCCAGGAGGCTGAGGTAGGAGACTATCTTGAGTTCAGGAGTTTGAGGTTGCTGTGAGCTAGGCTGACAACACGGCACTCTAGCCCAGGTGACAGAGTGAAACTCCATCTCAAAAAAGAAAAGAAACAAAAAAACAAAAAACACACAATGAAAAGCCACTATACACCCAGCAGTATGGCTAAGGTATAAAGACTGACATCATTAAATGTTGGGGAGGTTATGAAGCAACTGGAACTCTTACACATTGATGGTGAAAATGTCTTTGGAAAAAGTTTTGGCACTTTCTTTTAAAAGTAAACA